GGAGTGTGGGAGAAAGAGTCGGAATCCAAGATGCTCAAATCTGGGTGGGCTCCCAGCAAACGCGCACCGAAGAAGTGAGGGGAGAAGGAAGAGAGGAAGAGAAACAGTGGGGGTGGGAAAGTGCTAAAATCCACGGGTTAGGGGGCGCAAATTACTTGCCTTGCCCCGGGTGCTGACAACCCACGCTACGCCACTGCAATAGGTCTGAAATACATGTGTCCAAAACTGGTTGATCTTAACATGATTGACCCAATTGAGGTTTTTGTATAATCATTGATTATATCAATTTATCTTGACTTATTTTTGGTGTTCTTTTCTCAGATAGCCAGTGTACATTGTCAGTAATGTCTTTTTTTCTTCAACTTCTTTTAACAGTACCTTTCCATGTTGGATTCTAATCTACATTGGATTACCCTAAGCATTATTTTTATATTAAGGATACTGTACAGTAGTTTTCACATACTCTTGAATCTTCTTTCTTTGGAATTGGCATTAGGACGATTTCATCCAATCTGTTGGCTAATGTACTGTTCTTTAGATTTTCTGGCATAGTTTAGTTAGAACCTTTACTAATTCTTCTCTTGCTTACTGTACTTTTGTACAGATTTTATCATGCCTGTAGCCTTCCAGCTTGGGCATGAACTGAGTGCTAATCCAGTTTCATCTTCTAGTGAAAAGCCTTAACACTTTTGAAATGAAAAAAATTGGAATCAACATTCCAAACTCCTGCACATAGGAGTACAAAACACACACACTTTGATTCTGCAGTATTATTTGGTCATTGTTTATTTTAATTACCTCTTCTAATGGAAATTCGAACTTTTGCCAGCACAATAAAAGACTATAGTTTGTTCATTTTATTAGACCCAGTCAAGCATTGAAGTCATTGTTCAAAACTGAAGCCAATGACCTTATAGCATTGTTAGTCCTGCTCAATTGAAACAATGAAAATGATTTTAAGAATACTCACTAAATGGCAGGTAGATAATTCTCTGGAGTGTGAAACATTTAAATTGTTATTTTTTTTAACTGGCTGCCTTTAAAGATTATTCAACACAATTTTTGTAGGCATGTTTAGATACTACCATTTGCCTATATCTAGTGCTTTGTGAACCCACATGCTAATTTTGGGAGAAAGCCATGACTTAATAGTCTTAACTGAAAGGCTTACTTTCATGGCAGGAACTCTCTTGGTCTCCAACTGTGAGGTTTAATTTGTTTTATAAAATCCGCTTTGTACAAATGAACACCCATGTTTCAGCTATTAGGTATTTTTATGCACATGCACGTGGATCTCCAATTCTTAGTGGAAGCATAGCTAATCTTGTTGCTTGATGCTCATTAGACTTGTTAAAAACAACAAGACTCATGATTTAAAAAATTAAGGAATGTATCGTATTAATATTGAAAGTCTGGCACGTTGAATAAATTGTTCACCATGTCAGGAAACAATGAATGTTTTTCAGAGTTTTTTTAAAAAAAGGATAAACAGGGTAAATATTTTAGAATAATTCAGATCTGTATATTAGTCAGTAAACTACAGCACCAAGTAAATGATCCATTATAAATACATTTTTTTTCCTTTTGATCAGCTTAAATACAATGGGGTTTTTTTCCAACATAGTCAAATATAGTATTTTGCTGTCAGTTGCAAGATGACAGCAATTGTGTCTATGATTTCATGGGTGTAAGTGAGTAAGTAAATATTGAAAATTAAAATGATCCATGCAGGAACACAAAAAAAATATTTTTAAGATTTAATTTAAAATGCAAATTTAAAGGGATTCAGTGGGTAGAATTTTGGGAGGCTCATGGGCACATATCTGCTGATTTGCCTTTTGAGGGCTAAATCAATCATCCTTAGCAATAATATAAATAAAAATAGAAATACAAAGAGTTTATGCTGGTTAATTAAGCTGAGCTGGTTGGAGCATTTAGTTAATGTAAGGCGATCAAACCGGTCAGTCCTAGAGGAGATCAACCCTGACTGCTCTTTAGAAGGCCAGATCCTGAAGTTGAAACTCAAGTACTTTGGCCACCTAATGAGGACTCACTGAAGAAGAGCCTAATGCTGGGAAAGATTGAGGGCAATAGAAGAAGGGGACGACAGAGAATGAGGTGGCTGGATGGAGTCATTGAAGCAGTAGGCGTGAGTTTAAATGGACTCCAGAAGATGGTAGAGGACAGGAAGGCCTGGAGGAATGTTGTCCATGGGGTCGTGATGGGTCGGACACGACTTCTCAACTAACAACAACAAATTTTCATATGGAGACCCAGTTTGGTGTAGTGGTTAAGGGAACAGGCTAGAAACCAGGAGACGGTGAGTTCTAGTCCTGCTTTTCGCACAAAGCGAGCTGGATAACTTTGGAACAGACACTTTCTCTTAGCCCTAGGAAGAAGGCAATGGCAAACCACTTCTGAAAAACCCTGCCAAAAAAACTGCAGGGATCTATCCAGATAGTCTCTGAGAATCAAACACAATTGAACAGAATAAAAAAAATAGTCATATTTTTCCTCATGGAGACAATTTTTATTTCCTAAGGCTATTGGTTTATCTCCCTACCCATCTTCTTGACATGCAAACAATATATAAGCACACAGACAAACCTACCTAAGTTTACTGCAAATTAAAATGTTTATAACCAGATACATATTGACACTGGCATTAAAGCAGTCTAAAGCAAAGGACGAGCTAGGAATATCATATCTGAGGTTGAATTGACAATTAAAAAGTGAAATCTAATAATGTAGCCTGATAATGGTGATTTGTAAATAGAAGTTATAATAGATTTATATGAGGGGGGGCTAATGTGTTAGACATGAACTTTCTCAATTTTATCCCATCTGTATTTGACATTATTTTCATGCACTTTCTCTGCTTCTTTGTAGGCAACACAGAAAGCAGCTGTCATTTCTCTCCCCGTTGTCCAGACCAATGCACCTGTGTGGACTCTGTAGTTCGTTGCAGTAATAAAGGGTTGCGGTTCCTCCCAAAGGGGGTCCCCAAAGATGTGACTGAACTGTAAGTCATATTTTCACAACTTGTATTTCTGTAATAAGTGGTCAGTTTCAATTACTAGTTTACAAAAGATTGTTTTTCTTTCAAATGAGAATACTGAGGCAGGCTCACCATTCTAAACCAAATGCAAACTTATAGAAGGAATAAATCAGTGCCTGAAGCAGCATCATAGGTTAACATACAGAGATTCTGTTTTCATCCTGGATAGGAAAACAGCATTGCCTCAATACTTTTCTAGGGAGATATTGCCTGGGTTCCTCCACACCAGTGGTTCTCAACCTTTTTAATGCCGCGACCCCAACCGGTCGTAAGTCGAGGACTAAACCGGTCGTAAGTCGAGGACTAAACCGGTCATAAGTCGAGGACTTTCCCTGCCCGGGAGTGCCGCACATGTGTGGTTCTGCCCCTGCACCGGCCAAGGCGTAGCTGGAAAGTGGCAGAGACAGAGCAGGCCGACCACCAGCTGGCCCAGCCCAAGGGAGGTAAGGCACCCGCCGGGAAAGGGGAAAAAAATGGCGGACAGCCTTGCTTGGCGACCCCCGTGAAATGGTCGATCGACCCCAAATGGGGTCCCGACCCACAGGTTGAGAACCGCTGCTCCACACCATAGTAGGAAGATAGTAGCAACCTATACAAAATTTTAAGTTTTATATAGTTCAAAAAAATAAGTCATAAAAACAGAAGGGGGGATTTAATAGGAGAAAAATATCCCAGCCTCCAAACCCCACGATAACCAAACATAATGAGTATCCCCAGAACATCACTTTTATTATATACATCATTGCAAATACAATCAATAGCATTTTATAAATATCTACAGTAGGACCATGGTTAAAATACTGCTTCTAATTCTGATCACAGTATGATAAAGCAATGAAAATGCAGAAAAGGACAAATAAAAAGATCAACAGGTAAAATTAATCCTCATTTGATAAAAGTGGTTGGCTTTTTAGCTTAGAAAAAAGATTAAGTTTGTGGGGAAGAGAACATGGTAGAAGATATATTTTTTTTTTCTTTCAAAAGATTAAAGCACATGGTCATCTAACAAAACTAATGGTTGATTAGAAATGCTATTCACTGTGAAGAGTTAACTTATGGATTTACAAACATATGTGACAATGGTCACAATAGGAATAGATTTGAAAGAGGATTATGCAGGTTTAAGGTTGATAAGGCTCTTGATGGCTATCGTATTTGTGTTTGAGTGTCTGTGTCTAAGTAACAATGGTAGTACATTTATAACTATCAACTAGAAAACATGAGTGAGAATAAACTCCTGTTTGTGGGTTTTCCACTGGCATCTGGATGGAATAGAAAGCTGGAGTAGATATGGCTTTGATCTGATCCACCTGCCTTTATAATTCTCAGTTCTTTCATTCTCTAAAGAATGAATTATTTGGTTGCACTCTAGGAAGACTAAATGCAAAATATATATGCAAAGCAATGACACTTTTTTTAACTTTCATGAAATAGTTAAAAGGGGCCAATATAATAGATATTAATCAAATTAAAATGTGAATTATATGTGCAACAGAAAGGTATGGCTTCTCATTTGCTTCTATAATTGATTTTCACAGTAAAATGTGTGTGTATTGAATGGTACCTCATCTATAATCTATACAATGTGTGTGTGTTTATGTGTGTGTGTGCATGCGAGCATGCGTGCACACGCGTACTTTGGGGAAGATATCTCTTTAATTTCATTCCAAAGACTGTCAGAGCTACAGCAGCCATCTCAAATTAGTTTTTCTTCTCATTAGTAAAACAAGAGAGAAAAAATGAAACAGCACCACTATTTCTTTCTCCATTGAAGAAATTGGATTTCCCATATTAGATTAATTGATAGACAGGAACAAAATGCCTTGTAATCATCCAAAAATATGTTTCCGCAGGAAAAAAATAATATACAAAAGTAGTGATATGGAAGATCTTTATGCCAATTCATTATTGTATTTTAAGATCACCTAATAAAGTTCCCTTAGTAAATTACCAAAATGCTAAATGCAAAGAATGCCCAATTAAACTAATTGTAATTCATTTATAATTGTCAATTTGTTTTTTTCATTTTTCCCCCCTTACCTCCACTTGATAACTTTGGTCTTCACAGATTTTGGTAAATGTTTTTCCATATACCAAACAATGTTCAGGCTCTTTTAAAGCCTACTAATGCTCTCTGGTACCTCCCCTCCACCCCCATCTTAAATTTACAAATATGTGAATTAGAATAACTTTATTCCTCAATTACACAATAACATTTATCTCCGCGATAGGGTTTCCTGTAAGTAGGCCTGGTATTTTAGATTGCTCCCAAGCATGATGAATGGGTGTGGCTATCTAAATGGTAAGCCAAAAGAAATGTGAATAACAGCATTTCTGGTTAAGTAAATGTGAATGTATAAACATGCAAAGATAATAGACTATAGAATGTGGTTGATTTATCCTAGCGAATGTCAATAATAAGGGAATCTGCTAGTGAGGAAAACAATTGCTTTGATTTGATCATCATTTTTGGAGTGTACATAAGCAAAAATCCAAATCCAGTAATATGTCTCAGGGTAATTTGTTGTTCCTGCTTTTATTCTTTTTGGAACCTAAATATAGACAATTATCATATCCTTTTTGTCAATGAATATAGTTAAGAAAATAAAGTAATATCATACCCTTC